GAGCGCAAGGAGGGATTTTGGTCACATAACTTGAAATTGGACATTCATTGATTTTTACAGTATTTTTAAATTGACTCCAAGTTCTCCTTCAGCATGAGTCCTTCAATTGTCAGTTTTTCAAGCAAATATATTTTCCTAAGCCAATTCTGTACCCTCCCAATGTGATGCGGCTCTTTCCATCTATTCTACTCAGAAGTAGGAAGGTATATGTGATTTTCAAAAAGGGTTTTGGATGACCATAAAGAATCAGTTGTACAAAACTGTGATGAGTTAAAACACTTGGGCCTCCCATGTCTCATTTCATTATCTAAAGTTTGGCCACAGACATTATACCACATCTATGTGTAATGGAAAGATAGTCTTTAATTATTTGGCTTCAATTTTTTTTTTCCACGTCAGCAATGGTGACTTTTTATAAGGGAAGAACTTGTGTTTCTAGTCTGTCTCACCGTTCTTCCACTCTTTATTTTTCCATCCTTCAATACATTCACCTTTATCACTAGGGCTTTCTATTCAGCATTGACTAGTCTGAGAAAAATCTATGGTTTTTAAAAAGCAGCAAAACACTTTTAGAAGTCACACTGGTTTTTTTTTTTTCTTTCAAAAATCATCCTTCATGTATCAAATACTCCCGAAGTATACCTTACATAGAATTACAAAGAAGTGGCCCACTTACCTCACTGAGCTATATCCTTCTAAGTGCTTTAAAATGGGTATCTAAACTGTACATCAATTATCCCACGAGGGTCACATAACTGTGTCATTCACACCACAGACAATATGAGATGAGTGAGTGGGAGGGCAGGTTGATTTTATTTTGTTAAATACTGTGGTTTTTAGCCCTTCTTCAAGAAGGACCGTATTGCTTCATTTTAAAGATTTTTCAAAGGGGTAAGATGCCAGAATAACGTTTTTTTTTTTTTTTTTTTTGGTTTGTTAGATTGTTACTAGGCAGGCTGTTCCCATGGCAACAACAGCAATAATAAAAGAGTTTTGGGAGCTGTCTAGAACATCCTTGACTGCAAAATATTGAAATACTATTGAAAACAGAGGCCTGGTTGACATTTGGACTACATACAACTCCATTAAAGCAAAAGAGTACAAATCATGCTTCAAATTTGTGCATCTCCTTACAATTTACCAAAACATTATTTCATTTGATCCTAGCAGCATTTTACTGAAGGCAGGACTGGCATGATTAACTTTAAAAAATCTAAAGAGACACAGGCCTTTTCCTTATTCTGCTTCCCCTCCTTCTCTTTGTGAAAGGATAATAACAAAATAGAAGTGACGCCCCCCTTTCAAAATCACAGAGAAATAATTTATTAAAAAGGTATTCTCACTTGTGAAACAAAGATAGTCTTCAACAAAACTTGGACACTTGTAACCTCAACCACAATATGAGAAAGAGTTGACAAGTACAGTAAAGGCTTCCTGAAGAGGAAGCTTGTGGTTCCACATCTCAGTCATTAAACCAAAAGACTCCTAAATAGATGATATAATTTGAGGGGCAAAACTAATAGTTCCTTATCTGAAACAGTGGGAATGGGGTATATGCCAGGGAAGAGGATTTCCTGGGTCGCAGAAGAGGCAAAACCAAAGAAAGACGTAGACATGTCACATTTATAGAAAAAGTCTGT